TCACAGGTTTTGGTGGAAGAGAAATCGAGTGTCAGAATCTTGACACTAAACAGACCCAAGCAGCTCAATGCCCTCTCCTTCCCCATGGTATTCATTCATTTTTTTCCCTTGTTCTTCTCTTCTTCTTTTATCGTTTTTGAAACAATCAGTCTTCTCTAGATCTCTCGGTTGCTGCAACTGTTCCTTGCATACGAGGAGGACCCTAGTGTGAATCTTGTCATCCTAAAGGTAATATATCACTCTATCCTTTTCTCTTCCGTTTCCCCACATTGAATAACTTTGCCGCAGGGTCAGGGAAGAGCCTTTTGTGCTGGTGGCGATGTTGCAGCTGTTGTTCGTCACATCCAACAAGGTAACTGGAGACTCGGTGCCAAGTTCTTCTCTGATGAATACATGCTCAACTATGTTATGGCCACCTATAGCAAACCTCAGGTTTTAGTCTATCACATTCTACATGTATCAATAAATAAGCTCATTGATTCGTAATCAGTACTGTTTTTTTTATAAAAAAAAAAAAAAAATTATAGGTTTCAATCTTGAATGGTATTGTCATGGGAGGCGGAGCTGGTGTCTCTGTCCATGGTCGATTTCTTATTGCAACTGAGAACACGGTATTCTTTCCTTAAACATGTTCATGGATCACTAATACATCGCTCTCAAATATGCTCACATCTCTTGATTTTCTCCAAGGTTTTTGCCATGCCTGAGACGGCCCTTGGGCTCTTTCCAGATATAGGCGCCTCCTACTTCTTGTCAAGGCTCCCTGGATTTTTTGGTAACTAAAGTCATTTGTTTTTGCATGTCCTTCAAGCCCACAAAAGTTTGAGGCTATCTACCTCTCTCATCTTTCCTGTCTTCTGGTTCAGGAGAGTTTGTTGGCCTCACAGGAGCTCGGTTAGATGGCCCTGAAATGCTTGCTTGTGGTCTTGCAACTCATTTTGTGCCTTCAACGGTATGGACTTCTTCTGCTTACGTCTTTAGAGTTCCCCATTGCCGGCATGTTAGCAACTTGACATGCTAAAGACGAGAATGCCATTATTTGCTTCCTTTTCTTAACTATGGACTTTGACAGCTGGTGATGCAAAACTTTTGTGGAATTTAAGTTGAACAATGGACATACGAATACTCTGCAAGAACTTGGTTTTCTGTTTGGCATTTTTCTTAGTGAGAAGTTTTTCTTGCCGAGGACAGTTTGAGGTGTCTCTATTGTGTCGTGCACTATATTTATACGTCTCTGGAGTAGTCTTGTTCAGCGTGCTAATTTTCTCTGACATGATTGTTTGTGTTGACTGTTATAATTTATCAGTGTCCAGTCCATAACTTATAGCTAGTAGTGTCGAGCACTATTTGCTTGGCCAAGGCTTTTGACTTAGTAAGGTTACTCCTTGTCACAGAGGTTGACGGCATTAGAAGCAGATCTTTGCAGAGTTGGTTCAAGTGATCCAACCTTTGCCTCAACAATTCTCGATGCATACACTCAGCATCCGCAGCTGAAACAGCAGAGTGCTTACCACAGGCAAGTGATATATGATTTTATCTCTTTACTCTTTCTACTTGTACCGAAGTATCCGAATATCTTTTATCATGCCAAAATCGCATGCATTCTCATGTGCTAAAACATTTTCTCTGCTATTGATCCTGATTACATTACATGTTTTAAGAATTTCAACCTTGTATTGGTGTCAGCTTTCAATTGTTTCTTACAGAATCCATTTCTCATCAGATCTTCAACTGGAAATTTGTGCGGATCATACAGTACAGAGAACAGCTGTTTCTTACCTTTTCGTTTTTTCTTTGCGCAGGTTAGATGTTATTGACAGGTGCTTCTCGAGGAGAACAGTCGAAGAAATTATATATGCACTAGTAAGGTTTACATTTATATATAGGATATGCTGACTTGCGATCCTGGGTTACATTTGACTCTACCATCACATGTGTTGGTTAGGAGAGAGAAGCCAGTCAAGAAGCAGATGATTGGATCTCAGCTAGCATTCGAGCATTGAAGAAGGCTTCACCAGCGAGCCTTAAAATCTCTCTTAGATCGGTTAGTGTTGCAGAATACTTAACGAGCTATCAATATGTGTGAATTGGGCAAAGAGAGCATCACATGCAATGATGGGAAAGAGCTGACTGTGTACCTATTTCAGATAAGAGAAGGACGATTGCAGGGGGTGGGGCAGTGTCTTATCCGAGAGTATAGAATGGTGTGTCATGTGATGAAGGGAGAAATAAGCAAAGATTTTGTGGAGGTTTTGTCAGCTTTCTCGATTGTATCATCCTCCTCAAACTTTTCTTCTTGTTATTACAACTGTGAGTCTTACTTATGCAGGGGTGCAGGGCCATATTGGTAGACAAAGATAAGAACCCAAAGGTTTAACAAATGTCTCCGTTTAGTATCTGTGGTTATGTTATGTCACACTGTTGGTTGATATGATGCCGTGTGCTGAAATGACAGTGGGAGCCGCGGCGACTGGAGGACATGAAGGATACAATGGTAGAGCAGTACTTGAAGAGAGTGGAGGAAGAGGAGGATCTAAAGCTTCCGCCAAGGAAAAACTTGCCTGCTTTTGCAATCGCCAAGTTGTGAAGTGGAGAAGGTGATGAAGCACTATGGTCGTCTGTCTGAAAAAGTAAATAAATGTAGCAAAGTTTGTGTTGAATCGGCCTTGCAAACATAATGAATGCATAACGCAAAACCAGAAAGAAAAGAAAAGAAAAGAAAATATTATTATTGTAATAGAGAGATGACACCAAAGCATAGATGCTAAGAAAGATTTGTTGTAAATGGTGGTGTTGGAGGCACAACCATGGCCAAGGGGACGTGGAGGCACGTCTCTTTTGTTTATCATTCATTTATTTGGTTTCATCGACCCACACAGATGATTTGATGATTAACTTGATTCATCTTCTTAAACT